AGGATAGCAGAGTTACATCTGTATAGGATTTGAAAAGGTGTCACATTGAGGATGGAGAAAGCTTGTTTTCTGCTGCTCCAGAGACGAGGAGCGACGGATGCAAACTCCAGGAAAAGAGATTCCACCTCAACATTAGGAAGAACTTCCCGATGGTAAGAGTTGTTCGATTATGGAAGACGCTGCCCTGGAGGTTGGTGAAGTGTCCTTCTTTGGAGGCTTTTAAGCAGAGGCTGGATGGCCATCAGTCAGGAGTGTTTGGATTGTGTATTCCTGCAGGAAAGGGGGCTGGATTGGATGATCCTTGGGGGTCCCTTACAGCTCTTCTAGGAATTCTATATGATCCTCTTCCTCCTCCATTTCTTGTGATGCTGCTTTGTGTTGGGGCAGCTGTGCCAGTGTCTTCCTCTAGACAACCTTGGCACCTGACAACCATCTTTGCCTTCCCATCCCACATCTTTTCTTACAGCCCCAGATCATGTGTTGCAGCTTGGATGTGCATCATGTGTGTGTGAGTGTCTTCCTCTCATTCCCATCCCCTCAAGAGGCATGTTTGGTCAGGACCCAGGAGATAGGTAGGGCCTTCTCAGTGGACTGAGGAACTCCTTCCCACATGAGGTTCGATTGGCCCCTTCTCTGCTCTCTGTTGGCAGGAAAAGGCCTTTGACTGTCAACTGGCCGTTGCAAAAGGTCTTTTAATTGGGCTGTTCTAAATTCATGTTTTTAACAGGCCAGTTTGGTTGGCTGCTTAACTTTAGCAGGATCCTTTGTTTAGGTCTCATACCTAAATAAAAACTTTCATTACCTTTTTCAGGTTCCAGACACACAGAAAGGGACCGGACAGCAGGTAAACTAGGGAGATACCTTTCTGGTTGCCCTTGTTACTACAGGGATTTCACTCTTCACTATTTGCTCTTGAAGTAAGCAATGAGAAATTTTAGAATTATTCTTCCTGTTCTGAGAAAGTTTTCAAAAATTGGACAGCATTCAAAAACTATTCATAGTTCAGGAGGTAAATAGTCCAAATTTGCATGTGGTTTTCTGTACAAAAACATGCAGAAATTTTGTGCAGAATTAAGGTCCAAAAACACACTGTAGAAATAATCCAGTTTGAGACCATTTTAACTGCTCTGGCTCAATGCTAGCAAATTCTGTAACTGTAGTTTTGTGAGACATTTAGCCTTCTCTGTCAGGGAGCTATGGTGCCACAATAAACCAGAATTCCCAGGATTCCCTAGCATTGAGACAGGGTATTTAAAGCAGTCTCAATCTGGATTATTTCTGCAGTGTGTTTTGGACCCAAGACAGTAATCTCAAAGTGAACTCAAAGACAGTAATCAGTCCAGGATTTTCCTCGTCAAGGTTTCCTGATATCTAAGAAACAAGTTATTCTACCATTTTTTTGGAATTTGTATATTCTTGTATATTCTTTCCATCTCTGTTGACCATAGTTGAGGCAAATAATCCATATTACTCTGCAAAGTTTCAGAAAGCAAGCATCTTTTTTCCTGATTTGCCTTGACAAAAAATTGTGGGTGAGGAAAGAAGAGAAACTCACTTTTTGTAGGAGATGCCAGCACCTTTGCCTTTCCTGCTGCTAGAGTTCTAGGGTGCATTAAATGAAGTACCAGCAAGAAACAAGACCATGTTTTATTTTAAATCAAGACGTACCAAAAACACAAAATCTACGGAATCAGTAAAAATGCATCCTATGCAACCTCAGTTATGAACAGCACAGACACACAACCCTCCATGTGTGCATGCACACACGCTCTTCCAAAGACCCAGCACACCCTGCGATGCCTACTTCTTGCTCCACCAAAACACCAAAAGCAGAGAACGCACCCCACGCACGGCTATCTGTCCCTCATCTGCGGCTCCTCCAAGCCCTTGACCGGTGAGTCTCTTGGAGGTCAATGCTCCAGATGGCCCAAGGGGGTCATACTTTGCTCTGGCAGATGGCATCGTCCACCACGTCCTCTCCAGCCACACGGTCATCTTTGCCATGGACCGGTAGGTAGCCGCCTTCCCTGGGCAAGCACCAGCACCAGCCGGCCCCCGTGAGGTCCAGAGAGTCAAAGTCAAAGTCGCTCATGTCCAGTCGCTTGAAATCCACAGTGTCCAGGCTGTCATGAATATTGTTCAGCTTCTGCCAGTAGAGCCAAGCCATCACCAAGCCGACCGCCTGCAAGACAGGACAGGAGATAAATGAATGTGTTCAAGCGGACATTGTGAAAGGCAGCCGTGGCAATCTTTTTGACAGGGTGGCCGCCATTTTCTGCTGGCAGCAATGCATTGCTGGCCAATGGGTTCCTTCTCAGTGGGGCAGTGAATCCACTTTGAGTTTAAGTCTAAACGTATCCGAGAGATATCCAAGGGGCTGAACCATTTTCTCAAAATAGATGTACCACATTGGATCGCTCTTTTAAACCTGTTTTGAAATCTAGGGTGGACCCACTGCTCCACTGGCATGGATGCCACCAGTTAAGCTGATCCCATAAAACTGGGTCAGTCAATGACACAGACATCTCCAGAGCTCTGGCAATGTCTACAATATACAGAGTGGCATAGCTCATGGCTTCTAAATCGGTCTATGCATACGTCTCTCTATGTGCAGGTCAATCTGCTCCAGATTTTAGTGTGAAGTAATGATCCTGCACATTTTAAGAACTCTGCTGCAGGTGGAGTTCTTTATTTATTTAAATTGCACAATTTATTTAACTCCCATAATTACTAAAGAGCTCAATTTGTAATAGAAATTAGACATATGCTTACACACACTTACTCAGAATATTCAGAATAAACAAGCTGAATATCAAGACCTTCTGTAACAAAGAAATAAACTGTGCAGAATCTGCAGAGAGAGTCTGAGATCCTAACCACGCAACCACCATCACTGGGTCTACTTTATCCCAGATCAAGAGGATTGACACTGTGTGTTATCACAAATTAGTACATGGGGTTATTTCCTCCCTTTCGGGAGTGCTCCTTCTTCGCTTGCAAAGAGAGCTTATTTATAACTTCTGATTCCACCTGGCATTTTCCTTGATAACAGTCCTAATGCAGCAATTGCGAGCAATAACATTGCAAGAGAGAATGCGGCCTGTTCTCTGAAAATAATGAGATACAAGTTGTTCGTTAGAGAACAGATGCTGCTGATAAATACTAATTGTAATCGTATTAATCAACACCATCCTGCCATTGCTGGAAACAGCAGGCAGTCTAACAAAACCAGGCAGAGATGCCTATTTTGCATTAACTCCTTGACTGCTCAAGGGAGGACTTCTTTGCAGCAGGAAAGACTCTGGAATGAATGGTCGCCATGATGTTACGGCTTCAGGGGCGCAGCTTCGTGTGTTTGGTGAAACTTAGGAAGCTGTGCACCTGAAGCCACATCCTCATGGTGACCATTTGTTCTGATGAAAGGATGAGAAGAATTCCCTCCTTCCAGCAACATCAATGATGGCAGCTGCCACCA